CTAGAAAGCTGAAATTTTAAGGGGGTGTTTCCTGCCAGTTCTGGCGGCCAGTCTTAATTTGTTTAGTTAGAAGCACTTGCTGAAAAAACCGATGCCTGTAGCAACAAAAACTGCGGGAACTATGGAAAAAACGCATCTTCGCACAGGCAGCCCGTGCGTTGGCCAATTATTCGCTTTAAGGGAGGGCCTTACGGCTACTGAAATTAGACACTTTGTTGTTTTCAATATAGTGCATCCTAAATCACTCCTCTCTACTAGTAACTGCCAGACGAAAAGTTAGGCTCCTTTAGAGGCCCTAATTCGAGAGTAGCCCCTTCGATATGCACAAGCACATTACATTCGTAAGACGTGTCGTCACAGTGACCAATGTAACTGAGCATAAGAACACTACTCAAAAACATTTTTTACAAAGTAAGTTTAAACAATGCCAAATCAAGCTGAGCCCAGTGCGTGCTGCGAGGCGCGACACACTGGTACCCCACACAGACGCCACAACAACAGCGTGCGCTAGACGTAGTAACAGGAGAGCAATGGCCACATCGCAGCCGCAAAGTACGAAACTGAAGACGATTAAGTGAACAGGTACATATGGCATAGGGCGGAAAGGCGTGCAGTGAAAAACCAGCGGCACCAGGATTTCCAGACCACATATGGGGAGTGTACCATTTCCATCCTCCTTCTTCCTCGCCCGCTTTTTAAAAGATTACAAGGCAATTCACCCCAAGAGCTTCCTCAAAAGTCGGGAATTACCCTCCATCGGGATACATTCGCTTTTCCTTCCTACTAACCTATGCGCACTATCGGCTCCCGGCCAGTCGGAAAACCAGCAAAAAAACTCCAGCTGTGAATCAATAAGACTTATTTCCGTCAAAGTAACCGCACTTCCGCATCGACGTGATTATGCTTTTTGGTGGAAAAGTGCAAGTTTTGCACAAAAGAATAAGTGTTTAACAAAAGCCATCCACGCTTTGCCATGAAGTGGGAACGCCGTGTAACACCAGAGGATAACTGTTTTTCAAATTTTACCAGAAGGCTACCATCCAGACTTAACCAGAAGGCCGGAGAACTAGTGCCACTGGAACAAAGTTGAAAGACACTGAGAATACCTCTAACTGTAACAGCTAACTGATACACATCCCAAAAATCAAGGGGTAACAAAGTACATGTTAATGACTGGAAAAATTCAGACGGTAGGAACAAACAAAAAAGCAGGCAGAGTGGAGGTACTGCTAAATAGCATAGACATCAAACCAGGATGCACAGGAACGAGCTGCGCCAGAATTTTCTGGTATACCCAATATGGACAAGCCGCCATTCCTTAGCTTTGAATTAGGGTTCAGTATTTTTAAGCTCAAATATTAAGCATACTGTTCTTTCGACATTCCGATGCAGTCTCCGAGAGAATAAATTTAAAAAAAAAAAATGATCTATAATGCAAGAAAGGTGGATAATCGAGCAAACGGTAAAGCAATAACTCCTTTTCATTTAGAAATTTTTTTGTTCAGAAAGACTGTTCAGAAAATGCAATGGATGCACGTCATCATGATGAGCAAAAGAAAATACTGAGACATTACAGCACAAGAAGCATCAAACTGTCCCTGTTCCGCCCCAAAGCTGAGCAGACTGAGATCTTGATTCGGAAGAGTACGCTCGTCAATACCACAATCAATGCCTACTTTTTTATGCTTACAGCTTCAGTCTTATAAGTAATGGGAAGAAAAAGATAAAAGATACCAGAAGCCCAGTTTTCCTATCGTGTAGGATGCAGAAGACTCGCTGCAGCAATAATCAGAATAAACTGAGAGTCACATTCTACGTGGAGGTGCTCAACTGGCACTACTCCGCTACATGCCGGCACTACACCATCTTATGTGCGAAATACACGCACCAAATAATCGCACAAAAAAATCGGAAAAAACTGTGGCCCTTTCCAAATACCAATTTTGTCTCATAATATACGTGAAATCTCAATACCTACACGGTAACCGCAACGATACCGAAACGAGTAAAAATTGGAAGCATAAAAACGCATAAAAACAGACCTGCCCGACGGAGCCACTGACTCTTGTGCACCCAAATCCAGTTTAGAGGTACAAATTTGTACCACATTCAGTACGAAAAAGACTAGCCTTGCAGCTTGGGAGCCAGAAGTGGAAAGAAAGGGATAAAAGCATGCCCTAACAGGTCACTGAAAGATCGATTTATTATCGGAAGTGGGGAGAGCGAAACAAAAGCAGAAGTAAAAGTGCCCTCGGATATAAATCCATTTTTAGCCGAAATCAAGAAAACTGGAAGAATAGTGCCTGGAAGTTTTTCAACGAACTGAAAATTAACCAAATTTGCTGAATTCGGTGACAGGGACGAAATTTGGACATATGCAAGTGAGACGAAAACAGATGACAATTAATACAATGGAAATCATCAGCCTGTGAAAAAAAAAATACACATATAAGAGCAGTCTAGCATCTGATCTCGTTCGAACAATTCTGCCATATTCCTGTAGGACATTTTTTTCCACTGTAGTACGCACGGGACTCTTGGTCTTAAGCAACCCATTAGCAAATGCAAACAGACCACCAGCTCCATGCACCGGTACAACTCTGATAAGTTTCTGCGTAAGCGCATCCCCACCTTATGATAACAAAAAAAAAAAATCCCCAATTTGGAAAGATAATAAAGTTACGCCGTGTGATGATCTGTTTGCGATCCGTTGACAAGGCTTTCAATCTGATTAGCTATCACAGCTTCAATAGCTTCATCTATGGTACTTGATCGTGAGAGTTCGTTACGTTCACTTGCTGACGACGAAGTTGCTACTGCTGCTGCTGCTGCCTCTATCGTGAAAGCTTCGGGAGAATTCAGCGCTGTCCTCAGCTCTTTACTAAAATTGAAAATATTTCTGGATAACCAGAAACAGCACAAAATAATTTCCCTAATCATCTGCCGTTCAGATCACGATTTGTACTTTTATCCGTTCCGGTAATATAACCACAGTTGTACAGAAAGTTAAGTTACAAAGTAAAGTTGTAAAAGTGAGAAAGTCGGAGAAGCTTCAAATCTAGCCAAAAAAGCATTGAAATTCGCTAAGAAGTTCTTCGATAATAAGCAAAAATGGGATGGAAAAGATAAAAATGTCGCCAACGCTTCTTGGAGAAAGAGCGCCAATGCTGCGCAGTTCTTCGCTGAGAGCACCGATCTTACTGAAACTCGCAGACCCACTTTATTATGCCGTTGTCGAGGTATATATATATATACCTCATATATATACATATACATATATATATACATATATATATACATATATATACATATACATATATATATACATATATATATATATATATAT